GCGCATATTAAAACCCTGCAGTTCAGGCTTGTACCACCCTTCCTATCCATTTCCAAGGTGAATTTATATATTATACATACATGGCCCGCCCACATATTGTACAATATGTACCTGTCATACATGCATATACAATGGACAAATACACATACTTTAGCGTGTATAATGTGCATAATACAGACACTTTTTAGATATGGATTTGAGGTACATATGCAGCAGCTTGTATGCAGATGTTATCACTCTACCACTCTGGATGTCTACAATCTCTGTAAATCAACCATCAAAACACTTGCATTCACCAGCGATGTAGCAAGGCGGCACCGTGGCTGTTTCAGCGTTTAACAATGTGGTCACAATGGGCTCGCTGACGATGCTGTCAATCTACGTGTTTGGCGGTGCCTTCTTTGATCCTTGGTCTTGCAATGCGTGTGTTGGTTGATTCCTCTATCTATGCAGCTATATTTTTTGTTTATTTCTACACTTACGTATTATGTACTAATATAAATATACTTATTTACACGTTTATGTAAACATTATAGTATATTATAGTGATTTTGATTTATGTAAAATGATGGTTCTATCCTAGAATCATCCCAAATATGGTTTATTTCAGCTTTCAGACTTATGGTCATCCGCCCAGATTTTTCTTACCCGACAAACCGGAATACCGGAATTGTATAGTTGTTAGATATTTCCCCCCTGGATTTTGGTATATGTTGGTCAACGAAACTTACCTGATTATTGCAGAATCAGGTTTCTTGCAAGTTTCCTCACCTTTATTTACAGAAAGGTGGATTGTTGACATCCAATGACAACGGGGTAGGGTACATAATCCGCGAGAATCAGTGAGTTCAAGTTTCCTCCAAAACGTGGGTCCCTACCTGGTTGGGGATTCTGAACTAACCAATTCAGTGAACTTTGATCAACCAGTACGATTGTGTCAGTTACTGTAGATTTGTGTATACTATTACTCATTCCATAGTGATAATATAAGAATCAACCAATTTCTATGACAGCACCTAAGTTTCTGTATGTCAATCATCTATAATCATACTGTACATACCAAACCTTAGAATACTCATTGTGATTCACTAAACCTTTACTAACTTACCAGCGGATGACTGGCGTGATGGCTTAATGCCATGCTTTCAGGTGGATGCGGAGAATTGGTCACCCTACGTTCCAACAGGTGCCACAGGAATTGCGCAAGCAGCAGGCCGGGTGAAACAATGCCTGAGAAGAAACCAGACTTGGGCCATTTGGGATGATGGGTTTCTGGTGTAAATGTCCCACGAAACCAGGCATTTCTTCGTTGTTGTATCAGCCGGGACGGGGGTGCTGCCTAGAAAGTAAGATCTTATGAAAAGCGTGGTAAAAACCCTAAAACCCGACAAACCCTAAAGAGCTGGTCACATGATAAACATCTGGCCGGCACCCCCGGCCTGGGGGTATATATATAATTATAATTATAATTATATATATATGTATATATATATATGAATATGTATAAATATATATATATACATATACATTTGCAATCATGTACAACACTCAGATTGTGTGAGTGATGCTTAAAGGCTTTTGGGGTTTTCCATGCATTACCCCAGTTGTTTATTTCGGATTGCGGTGAACGGGATCCGTTTTCGGTTATCCTGGGTGAATTTCATCACGACACAGGCTCCGTTTTCTTCTCCTACATTGGTTTCGACGTGCTGGCCACCCTCAGTGCGGAGGCCGGCGAAGCGTCTGGAAGGGTGGTTTTGGCCCAGTATTAGGTGCCCGATTGCATTTCTAAATACCATACGAAACTCCTTCTCCACGATGTTATCTTGTGTTTTTTTTGGTGGTTATTCATTTTGCCGACATCGTGATGTCTAGGTGATGATATCTACAATGATTATATATATATGTATATTATATATATATATATGTATATTATATATATGTGTATATTATATATATGTATATTATATATAAATTGAATATGTATATATATGTATATGTATATGTATATGTATATGTATATGTATATGTGTATATATATATATGTATATGTATATGTATATGTATTATTATTATATATATGTATATTATATATGAATAGTATATATATATATATGTATATGTATATGTATATGTACTGTATATATATATATATATGTATATATATATGTATATATACATATATATATATTTGTACATATATATATATATGGTACCCCCCAATGCTATCCCCCCGCAACCACCCCCATGGGGGTGGCCCAGCCATCTACGATCATCCATCAAGATCTTATATGCTATACTTGCATGCTGGCCTCGTGCCACCTATATACTACCTAACAGGTTACCTCTATACCCATCCCACAGGGGCGCGTGGGGGTAAGCTACACCCTACATCACTATTTACAACGTATTACTGCCCATAAAGTACCTTTATAGTAGCCATATTATACTAGCTACTGTCAAGACCTCATATGCTATACATACCTGCAACCCATGTGCCTATACACTATCTACATGATACCTCTATAACACCCCACCCATCCCACAGGCGGGGCATGGAGCATTGCGCCACATACTATCTACTTTTTGGCTACACGTGAGTGACACACTACCTAGCCCCCATCCTACAGAAAGGCGGTGTGTGTAAACTATATCTTACATAGGGCCTCCTATATGACCGTGACATCGGGGGTGGGGGGGTTGCTGGCCTGGGCCACAGGGATGCCTCAAGGATAAAGACATTGTGGTTCCACGGAGACGAACGCTGTTTGATAAAGTCCAAATGGTGAATATCCATATATGGTTATTATATGGTTAATATACTTTTAATAATGGTTAATATATTGTTATTATATGAAGACTTCATTTGTACTCCGTTTTACAGTGTATTTTGCTCTTTGACATCTTCATGCATCACATGGAATCAAGCATTGCCTGGCGGACTTATTTTGAGTATGTCCATATTAGGTCAGCAGGCGCTGATCATTTTCATGTGTCTAATCCGATTCAAGTGAAATACTGGGGGTGGTAGTAACACCATTGCATACCTATATATTATATATCCCATACATACATATCACAGCATATTACTAGTGTATGATATATGCATATATATAAATATATATATGATATATCTGAATCCATCACTTACAAGTGGCTATCCAGCTGTCTGTGGCCGAGCCACGGTCGAGTCACAGGCAACGCATAGTCGTGTGATTCCCCTTGGGATCGTCTTGACCTTGGTGATCACCACAGTCCTCTACTGTTGCACCTTGCTTTTGAACGATCCCGCGTCGACATTTCGTCGTCCTTTTTTGGGGAACTCGTATCATAGTGGAGATGTCATCTTTCAATGTTTCAGGAAAAACATGACTAATATTGATATTATATACCATCTGGTTATTTAACATAGCCATAGAAAATCCCTTATAAATGGAGGTTTTAATGGTAAAATCATCTATAAATGGGCCATTTTCCATGGCTATGTTAAACAACCAGATGGTATATATATATATAATTATATATAGTATCTGTATAGAATGATCCAATGCTTTTCATGATAAACTGGATGCTTCAATTTTTCCTTATCCATCCTTATCATTCCTTATCCAAATTATCCAAATTATCCATCCTTAGCCATCCTTAGCCATCCTTATCCACCCTTATACCAAAAAAAACGTTGGATGCTTCAAACGGGTGTGTCTGAACATGGGGTATGCGAGTATACCTCCCAAATAGCCATTTAAAAGGGAACATGACGAAAATCACCAGTGGATGGATATAGGGGTTCCTCATTTTTCAGACAGAACCATTTAGCAACTTCCAGTCGGGATCTACCCTCTGGCAATTGAACATAGCTGTGGATAGAAGATCAACATCTACAGAACATGGTGATTTTTCATGGCAACCGCTTAAATTACCAGTAAACCATCAAACATATAGGGATTGAACCATCAAAACAATGGGAAATTGAATCAACAAACAATGGTGATTCAGTGATTCACCAATTTCTGGCGTTTGGATCTCCCAAAACAAATCTCCCGACGTCACGCCTCAGGCGTGGCTACAGTCTTCACGGGATTGGTGAAGTCTCTCGGCCCCTTTTAGCTGTCGGTAGTTGAAGATTGGTGTGGGATAAAGTGGGTACCCTCTGGTAATATACACATACCCTCTGGTAATTTGTTACATAGCTATGGAAAATGGTGATTTATAGTGAGTTTTCCCATTAAAAATGGTGATGTTCCATTGCTATGTTAGTTTACCAGAGGGTAGCGATATTAAAGAGGTACATCATGTACTTAGGATGGTTGTTTTTTGTTTTTTTTCCACGCCTATCACTTGTGTTATATAGATGATTCTGAATGAAAATATTGTTTTTTATGTCCAATGATTCCCAGGATCGTCACAAGAAAACATGTTTTTTTGTCCCGAAATGGGGCCCTAAAATGCCTAAACTGGCAATTCTTGAACCGCACAATAATGATGATCATCCTATAGTAGCGAGGCCGTAGCCTATTGTTGGTTTCATGCCACATCTTTTGATGGATCATTTGTTCTTTCCCATGTCAGGGTTGGCAAAAGAACATTCACCTGTCCAGAATCCCAAATGATCAGTCGAGCAGTGTCAAGAGCTCATTGCTTGTATTGGGCTTCTACTAACCTATTGAAAAAGGATCAATTCCCAACACTCTTGGGCTATACAAGGTGGGCCCCCCCAGTTATAAGATGGTTTATAAACCCCATGAACTATAGTTATAGGTACCATAAACCATATAGTTATTGGAGTTATAAACCAACTTAGCTATCTAGGGGGCCCCACTTTGTAAACACACCACCAATTGATGGATCTTTGGAAGCTGGAGCATCTGTGGGCTCGGAAAAGCCCAACGGCTCCTGTCGCCGGTCAGGTACACAGACATCAGCCAAACTGCCCCGTTGGCTTCGGCCGCGGAAGACCGGGGCCTGCACTGGCTGGCGGTGCTCGTGGCCATTGGAGCACTGGGAAATACCTTAACCACGGTGACCTGTCCGCTGCGGGGTGCCTGATGGTTTTTTTTTGGTATATGAATAGACCCACTAATGTGGTAAACCATGGTAAAACCAATAAGAAAACTCCAATTTTGGAGGGTTTATATGGGTTTATAGTTTGTATACCATAGTTATGTCATGTTATGTCGATATGTTCATAGGGAAAATGACAAAAACTGTAGACCTGTAGATGGAACCTGGAGCAGATGGAGCTGATGAAGCATCCATTTTTCTTTTAAACCACGGGAAGGCCATCTACAAAAGCGATTTTTTCTTTTTACCCTCTGGTAAACTAACATAGCTATTGAAAATTGCCATTTATAGTGAGTTTTCCCATTAAAAATGGTGATTTTCCATAGTTACTGTATGTTAAATCACCAGAGGGTAAACATGTTCTAAACATTTTCTAAAGCATGCAGAATGCGGTTCATCAGGCCCGGGGGTCTATGGCACCTGATGGCACCTGGCACGAGACCTGATATGATTTATATGATTTATTCCCATCACTTAACATAGATCAAACACCACTTTTAGGACACACTCATCAAATCCAAAGCCCAACAAAGAACTATTGAGTTTCATGCTCATCTCTAAAGTTCTTCAAACATCTTGAAACCCATAGAAATTCAACTGGAGATGCCAGGAAATTCCTAAAAGAAAATTAAAACCAAACATCAAGTTGTTTTTCTTCAAAATGATGTAAAAACACCTAATTTTTTCCATAAATTCTTTCACCACTTGTGTAAATGCCGAAGTTTTGGAACTTCATGGCCCGACCCCTAGGTGATTGGTTGCGTCCTAGCGCAACCGCGCTTATGTTTCGCCATGGCGCAGGAGCTGAACATCGCCCTTGTGGGGCCTTATTTCAGGTTAGCAAAATATGATCATTTAGCCAGAATCATCATGTTCCCTATGAAACGTGGTTTATTTGATGGGTAATTCCTTTTTTCCCCGTGAAATAGTTGTTTTTTTTTGGTAGGTGATGCTTTCTGCAAACAACAATCCCTCTGAAATATGGCAAATATGGTAATTTTCTCAATGTCATATGACCATATTTAATGCTATGTTTTGTTTTTGTTCCTCCATTTTCAGATCCAAATGGTGGCTATTTGATGATAGGGATTGAACTGATTAAACATGACATTTAAGATGGATGATTTTGGATGATTCAAACTCCAGCAAGTTGGCAATCCGTTTGAAAGGCGCAGCTGCAGAACTGGAATCTAGGCGACCAAAACTCTTCAGCTTCATCACATGGAAATCCACGTCTTTCAAGGAATGTCCAGGCCGCAAGTTTCGGACCCACTCTGCGGCCTGAACCCAGAGAAAAGTTCTGTAGATCGACAAGCACATGAGGAAACGGCATGGTACTGTCACAAACTTCAGAAACGGTCCACCCCGCCGCATCGTTTGGTTGTTGTATTGTGGTTTTCACATGTTTTCACAAGTCATCTCCCATCACAAGGGACTTCCGAAAAGAAAGGCTCCAGATCAGCCCAGCGCCTCCCACATCTCGCCACAGCCATGGCGGACACGTTACCGAAACGTGTGCTATTCGTGGGGAACAGCTTCACCTTCTATTGGAACTTGCCGCAATCTGTGATCTCCATGGCCAAGAGTCAAAAGATCAACCTGGCCGCACAGCAATCCACCGGCAGTAGCGCAACCCTGGGAGAACATTGGAATGGGGACAAGGAGCTACAAACCTTAGACGTTCTCCGTGCGGGGGACTTTGATGCAGTGGTCTTGCAGGAGCATGGCATGCGATCCATTCAGGATCCAGATAGCACCGTGCGACATGCTAAGCTCTTGGCAGAAGAGATCAAGAGGAAAAAGGCCAAGATATACATCTTCCTACCCTGGGCAAGGGAAACATGGAAGACTTAAAGACGGTTCATGTTTTGTTTCTCTCAGGTTTTGCCTCATATGTAATACACTCAATACATATATATATATATTTATTTATATGTATATTCAATGCATATACACGTATATGATCGTATATGCAAGTTTGCTTAAGTTTGGATCTGGGATGGGAATTTTGACAAGACAGGAGAATATGATTCAATGTAATGGTTTTTCTTCTGGTTCACATTTTTAACTTTGATTCTGATCCACTTTCAGCCCCAAATCTGAGGAATACAATCCCTATTGGCAGAAACAACTCAACTCCCAGCACAAGGCTTTAGCGTCTGACATTGCAGGGGCCGAACTGGTGCCTGTTGGCTTAGCTTGGCAACGTGCCCGAGAGTTGAGACCCTTGATCCCGATCTATGATGCAGATCAAATCCATCCTTCACCCTTGGGCACCTACCTCACGGCTTGTGTTTTCTATGGCGCCTTGACCAAGAAGTCTCCGGTCGGCCTGCCCCATCGCTTGACCTACGAAGATAGCCATGGCCAGAAGATCTATTTGAACCTCCAGTCCGAGGGAGATGCTCTCTTTTGCCAGCACGTGGCCGAGGAGATTTTGCAGACCCCATCGGCCATCGGAGCTCCCGGGGCCCCAGGCAGCACTGCCAGCCCCACGGCAACAACGTCCTTGTCACAACAAACGTCCCCCGTGCATACTGCCCAGGTGGCTAACACCAAAGGCTTTGCAGCTTGAGAACTAGAAAATCGTTGGTTTCCAGCGTGGGAAACTTTAAAAGTCAATGTGCCCAAAGATATTTGCCATATGCCCCGAAAACCCTCTGTTTTCGTGGCTTTCGGTAGGGCGTACAGCTACATTGCTACATAGCATCAGCAAGGCAAATTTAGCAGCTGAGTGGTCAGCCAAAGAGCTGAACTTAGCCGCATTGAGTTAATGATCGTCCTGCCTGGCTGAGTATAAATTAGCTGGAGCTTTGATGGACCATAGGGTTGGCTACAGGTTGGTCACCCATAACAACCCATAATGTTGGGGTATAACTGTGTACAATGGGGTACCTGAAGACTCACCAGTTGGCTAACTCTTGACTGTCAAAAGCTGAGAGGAGTCTTGGAACACCTCTTGCAGCCCATCCTAATGATTCAAGCAGTTCATGGGTTTCGGTTGGCGCATTTGAAGATGAGCATGAACGAGAATGTTGGAAGCTCTCGTCTCGCATTTGGCTTTGCAAAAGCCTTTACGTATTTCTAGTGAGGTCTTCAACTTTGAATACGCCTCCGGGTTGCCAAGAACAGCCACTTCAGTGGTATACAGGGACATACAGAGACAAGAAATAGGTTCCTCCAACCACTCCTACTGGATTCCACGTCCATGGGCTCACGACCAGAAACCCAGAAACTCGCCGAGTGTTGACATTGTTGACATGTGACAGCTCACTCATCCCAGAGAGCCCCTTGGCACCAGGATTTTCTTGGAGAATTCAGCTGGTTTTTCCTCCAGCTGATCCAAAGTACAGACCAAAAACACTGTTAACTAAGTTAACCCCATCTAGCTATATAGAATATATAGATATCTATCCACTTTTTTATTCTTTACCATAAAGCCAGGGTCACTGTGGGAGGTATACTCTATGTTGGAGATGCGGGATTACCAGTGGATTACCAGAATCCATTATTGTCTTCTTAGGCGGATCTTGCTGGATCTCCATTGACCGAATCATTACCAAACAGACTTTCGGATTGTCTAACAGGCTTTAGTTCCACATTTCGTTTGCAATCAATCCCATCAAACAATTACAGCAACCCATAGCAACCCCAAATCGATAGAGAAATTGGACACTTTGAAATTATGGGGGGAACATCATCTATGACATCTTGGATGAACTTTTCTATCTTTTTGGGAGCCCTTCATGTTAGTGGTTATAACCTCCAGCAATCTAACATAGCTATGGGGAAGCCAACATTTGCAGACATTTCAAACCATGGATTTCCAGAGCTTTTTCTGTGTTTATATATGTTTATATGATATATGTTTATATTGGGGTATATCGTGGTATATCATGGTATATCCTATAAAATCTAGCCCCAGGTTTTGACAATATAGTATAATATAATATCCTGATGATATTCCTATGATATTATATCCACATAATAATATTCACATATATCATATATATAGATATTATATCATATTATATCCACATAATAATATTCACGTATATATATATATATGTATACAATATTATATTCACATGGTAATTCCTCGTCAGGACGGCCTTCTTCCTGCCACTCTGGTGCGTGTGAACCGCTTCGGGGCTCCAGCGCGATCCTTGCTGGCGCCTTGGTCGCTGGTTGGCTTCAAATTCCATGGCTTCAAACGAGCCATTTAGAATATTTATAATATATGTAATATGATATATATATATATTAACTATATTTATAATATATGATGATCTAAACTTTGATGATTTTGAGCCCCTCGAACAGCGAACAGGGCTACTTTGTTTGGCAATGCTTCAATTTCAACTTTTTTTAAAGATATAATTCCGCTGCGAGCGAATGCGGCTTGCAATGTAGGCTTCGTCATTAAGGTTCGGGAGCTCAAGTTTGATCGGATGAAAAACCATGCCCCCAACTAAATCAGACCCTGGAAGAGGAAAGGATGCAAGGAAAGGAAAGCCTTCCAACACCCTACTTGGCAGGGTCTATGACGTTAGTTCGGGTGATGGTAAAGTATATAAAGATACCTTGAGCCTTTAAGCATCAATGCCACAATGGGTTCAAGGGATAATTATGGAAAATAGACAGGACGTCCTCCATATTTGATCAGACAACCCATACTTTCCTGTCAAAATGTTCATCAACTAATTGAGTGAATGAACTGTTCGGCATCAAATTTTCCCCGCACCTTAATTTTTGACCCCAAAAAACATGTTTCCAAGGACTAGGGTGTTCTTTGCAATTTTAATTGGGATCCGCAATTTTTCTGTGGGTTTGTCTGAAAATTGAGGGGAAAACTCCAAATTTGAAGGTTGATCATCATTTTCCCTATGAACATACCCTCTGGTAAACTAACATAACTATGGAAAATCACCATTTTCGATGGGAAAATCCACTATAAATCACCATTTTCAATAGCTACGTAAAATTACCAGAGGGTAGCAATTTTTGGGATCCCCCATTTTCAGACAGACCCGGTCGTTCTTCGTTCGGTTGAAGGTTGTGTCTCACATCTGTTTGGTTGGCATGTGGGTCTTTATTTGCGCTGGGGAAATGACACACAAATGTCGCCACTGTTCCGGACCGGGTGTGAGCGCAAGTGGTCAAGGGCCAGGAATTAACAGCCCCCTAGTGTTGATGGTTTCACACCAAAATGGACCAAGATGGGTATGGGTCAATACCTATAGATACATTTTTAGTGGGATGACCATCCATTTACCAGCTATTTTGGGGTTCACTAGGTACCAGGGTTTTGACCCATCCCCAGATCTTGTCTTGTTGTTTGGAGGTCTTCAGTCTCGACCCATACTTGCCTGTGCCCCAAAAGGTATTTGCCGCTTCCAACATGGATCGTTTCAGGTCCAAACTGAAATGGCCATGCACAATATGGATCAATAGGCATCAATATGCTGGTTCCCAGATACATGGGCTGGTTGGTTGATGAACAAGGAGGGGTATATAACCATATATAACATTTTTTTAAATACCATTATGTGCAATTGATGGTTTTTGTGGTAGTACCGACTGTACCGAAAAAATCCCAAAATGGACATCATTGAAGCATTGCACTATCCATCCACATTCCTGCTTCTGTTCACTTTGTACCTCCTATTCTTAAACAATATATTATACCATATATTACCTATATTATGTACCTCGTATTTGATTATATAATCCGTTTTACTCACCATTTTTCCTTGGATCCAATTGCTGAGGCCATGATATAACTCTCAATTTCTGCTTCAATCCAGTCCTCCGAAGCCTCCATATCCAGATCCGTTGCCGGAATCATTCCTTCCTTTTTTGAGTAAACACCATGGTTTCTGTAGACTTTCCAACCAATCCATTGAAGTATCAATGGTTGCTTTCCCCATTGTAATTCCATGATATCTTCAAAAGGTCCTGTCAAAAATCCGCATGAATCGTCAAATGCCATTCATCTATTCATCTCCATCTCCATCATAATATGATAAATATGATGTATATATTATGTATATATATAATATATATATATACACATTTACTTATGTACATACATCATATATATATATGCATATATATATGTGTATATACACAGTATCCCATGAAATCCCAGAAGTTGGTTTCTCCGGCAGATCCTGGCTGCGCCCGCTTGTGTCTTTGCCGGCTTCTTCGATTTCCACAAGATCGCGGACGTGGTCTCGACCGGTGCCTTGTGCCCCTTGGCGTAGTTTTTATTGGCAAACCTCAAAGATGGAAACGTGAACACCTATTGAAACAGTGGTAAATGAATGTTTGAGTTGTTTTCTTTATTTCTTTTCCAGTTGTGAGATGGAATTATATGGGTACGGCTCAACTTCACCAAGTTCCAAGTCAAGGTGTGTAAGCTTTGCAAGGCTTTGTTGGAGTTTCGAAGGGACACAGCTTTCCTTCGGGTCCTGAAGGGCTCCCACCGCTAAAGGTGGTGTTTCCAATGTGAAAACCATCTCCCAAAGAAGGCCTAAGCAACCGGTTCTTCAGAACAGTTTCAGTTGTGCCCTCTACCAGCTAAATCCACATCATATCAGTAAAACATAGTAAAACTGATGAGAATGAATCAGAATGATGCAAAGTCAGGACCCCTTTTCACCGAATAACCAGGGCTGTTTTTGTTGCTGAGGCACATTTTCCTTGGTTTGTTCTTCCCTGATTCTCATGCGCTGTCCCCGAGCCATGAACACCAACCACTCCGGTTGCTGGGCTCGGCCGGAAAGACTGGCACGGTGAAGTTGGAATGATTTGGGCACATATATAAACGTATACACTGGACATAAAGTACTACTTATACCGTAATCCTTGAGTAAATAGAATAGTTTTAATGTTGTTTTTTTCTACTTTCAAGAAATCCCCACTAAAATTGAGAATATTCGTGTTATTGTCACAATTCTATTTACGATTATCATTTTTAGGACGACGGGCGTTGTGTTTTTCATCCATCTGGTCCATCAGAAATGTCGCGCGCAGGCCCAGGCCATTTTTGCAAAGTCTCCATAGGATCCAAAGTGTAGAAACATGCCCATGACGGATCCATGGTGCTGGTATATTTTCTAACATGACTGGGGTATTTTCTAACATGACTGGGGTATATTGATGGGATTCATGTTACCATATATGGCATACATGGATCCGTCATGGGATGTAGAAACCCATCCAACGATGTAAACCCTAGCAGCTTACGTATCGAATATGGACCAACGATGTAAACATGGACCGGAGCAGATGATCGAGGCGTTGCCGGCGCATCGAACAGCAGCACCAATGAAGAGGTGAGGAGAGTTACAGCACCCCAAGTGATGACGGTTTTATCAATGGTCATTTCAGGAACCTAAATTGGAGGTACCTACCATATATAAGGCCTATATAAGGCCTATGTAAGGGAATATCCCCACAAAATATGGCCTTATATGGTACAGTACCTCTATTTTAGGATCCTGAAATTACCATCGATTTTATGCCAATGAGGTTCTTCGCCGGATGGACTGGGGCATCGTGGGGTATTTTCAATCCAACCCAAATGTGTGGTTAATCAGGGGTCGAGTTCCGTACCTACAGACGTGGATGGTTTTGACATACAACACACACACACACCAAAAAAAAAAATGTCTATGTAGAAGAAAAGGAGTGGGCGCATTAGTATCTTTAAACAGATCAGTTTCAATGGGGAAACTGGTATAATGATAGTAAAGCAATAGTAAACCATCCCCAAATTTACAATTTTTACGGGTGGTATATGGGTGGTCTATGACATTGCTTTACTAACATTGATCATCAGTATTAACCATCAATACTAACGATTAATTATCATTGTTAAGCATTATGAGCCATTAACATCCATTAGTGGCGATTATTAATGGTGATACTGATCATCAAACTAAGCATTATTCACCATCAATCACCATAAGTTACCAGTATCCACCATGATTATTGGGCCATCAAATATCCATTCAACTTATTAAATGGTTGGTGGTTTCAAACATTTTTTATTTTCCACAGTATATGGGATAATCCTTCCCATGGACTTTCATATTTTTCAAGATGGTTAAAACCACCAACCAGTATTACCCTCTGGTAATTTAACATAACTATGGAAAATCACCATTTTCAATGGGAAAATCCACTATAAATGGCCATTTTCAATAGCTATGTTAAATTACCAGAGGGTAAATGGTGGATATTCTGCAGGTCAACCGTCAGATGGGCCAGGAAGAAGTACGAGGCCTCGGCCGACTCCCTGCGATGCCTTCCACACAGACTCCACGGCCTGTTCCTGTGCCAAACAAGCGGTGGTCGGTGGTCAAAAGGTGCAGGGTGGTGCGCCCCTGATGTTTGTTGGTTTACAACATCCATGAACTATAGTTTCATCATGAGGGCTTCCATGATGTTCTCCTCCATAGCTGATTCTAAGGATTTTTAAACTTGAAACAACATGCAAAAAAAAGGAAAACACATGGAAAATCAAAAAGCAAAACTTCAAAACTGAAAAAAAACGGAAGCAAAATAAATGGGGAAAAAGGAACGTCAAAAAGGGAAAAAAACATGGGAAAAACATGGACTTGTCCATTTGAAAGTTTTTTTGCTTTTTCGATTTGCATTTTTTTTGCTTTTATTTTGCATTTTTTTTTGCTTTTTGAAAACAAATCGAACAATAAATGCAAAATAAAAGCAAACAAAGAACACATCGAAAAAAACAAAATAACTGCAAAAAAAATGCAAATGGACAGGACAAGTCCATTTTTTCAATTTTCCCCCTTTTTGACTTTCCTTTTTTTCCCCTTTTATTTTGCTTTTGTGTTTTTTGGACTTTGCTGATTTGCTTTTTGTTTTTTTTAAAGTTTGTTTTGATTCTTAGAATAAGCTATGGTCTGGTGAACATCAGGCTTCCATAAATAATCATAAATGGGGGATCCCCAAAATGGTTAATAATTCCATTGATGGTTGATAGTGATATATAGTGATAATGAATGGCCTATGATTCTTAATAATATTTCATAGTCATGATGACTGGCCATGAAAACATGGTTACTGTAAGTCCTGTGTTGCCGTTGGTTCCCGGAGCCTCCACGTGTCTCAAGAGGGGATTCCGTTCCGTGCGAAACAGCGACATATTTCTCTTCGAAATTGTATGAAGATCTATGAAGATGTAGAAATCATGACATGACATAGCTATAATATGGCTATGAGTCAAAACCCTGGTACCCCTGTAGTTCACATCAAAATAGCTGGTAAATGGATGTTCATCCCACTAAAAATGGTATTAATAGGTATTGATCCATACCCATGTTAGAAAATATGTTAGAAAATATGTTCACTTCACAATCTGAGATCAGATGCATTGAGAAGGATGCATTTTCACACGACCGTTGAGGTAGTTCCCCAGACCCGATGATGCCTTGGGGGAATCCAATGGTTGGGGGATGCCCCCTGGTCTAAAACTCCATTACGTACTGTTGGTATCCCCTTTTCTTGGTTGTTTATATCACGTTATATCTCTATTTATTGTAATAACATATTCCATGGCAAACCGTTACTAAATTGCTATTTGCGACCCGGATTTTGGACGCACCCAAACGTTGGTGGATCTTTAGCCGCCAATGTCTTTTTTGGTACTCTTCCCCGGAATATTTAGTTGGTCAGAATCCCTGGTCTTGTCTAGACCTCATACACGTTGTTATCTGAGATTGCTGGCAAAATCCCTTCAATCCCCATTTCTGCCAGACAAATCATGATCTTTGCTGCTTCAAACCTCATTTTTGTGGTGAAGACATGGATGTGGGTCAAAATGGAAGACCTAGGGGACCACAGATGTTAGTCTAGTTTAGTACAATGTGGGGCCCCCAAGATAGCTAAGTTGGTTTATAACTACAATAACTAGGGTTTATGGTAGTTATAACCATAGTTAGATGGGGTTATAAACCAACTTATAACTAGGGGGCCCCACATTGTATTAACCATCCATAATTTTGGGGTACCTAATTTTGACCCATACCCACATATGTAACATCACCAGTTTCGCACGTTCAGGTCATCGCAGGCCAGGCCGGTGAGGGTCAGCTACGGGAAAGTCAAACTGTGAGGCTTTTTTCAAGGGACCAAGAGGAATTGTAGGAGTTTGTGTCAATTCATAGATCTTGAATCATCTTGAATCATCAGCTATAATATGTTAGAAAATATGTGGGTATGGATCAATACCTATTAATACCATTTTTAGTGGGAATGAACATCCATTTACCAGCTATTTTGATGTGAACTACAGGGGTACAAGGTTTTGACACACTGCCACATCTTGAATCATCTTGAACATACCTGTTGTATCCTGTTGTTCTGTGTAGGTCATGTTTCCAGGCTCTTTTTAAATTTAACTTTCATTTTCCAGTAAATTGGACTGGTTTGATGTCGGCCGATCGAAGGGTAACCAAGATTCCAACAAAAACCAAGCGACCATCCACGGGAGGAGGATGTTGGCATACCCTAGAAATTTGGTAAACAAAAATAATAAGCAAACATGTTTTGCATAGAATGATAGTCTAATATGCGAGCATCTTAAACCATTCTGTTTCACACGTCTCAGGTTCATCTTTGGTTGCAACTTGGGATGTTCATGGTTTTGAGCCTTTCCTATTGTGTTGATTGGGGTGCTGTGGTCTCCACGCATCCTTTTTTAATTTGATGGCGGCATTGCAGGAAAACTTGTTCTTGTCCTTTTCTGTGCATTTTCTGTTAAGGAAAGGCAGAGAAAGAAGCAGAGAATGATCATGTCGGAGTGAGAGTGACGATCCCGACACTATCTATTTCGATTTTGACAAACCCAGATCGTGCTTCCAGTGATCATCTCCAAATTGATCGGACCTCTATGGAATGGATCAACCTGGTGCCCGTACATGATGCAAAAACCGGATACCAAGGACAATGCCCAGTGATTCAGGGCATTTGGTCATGGTTTCCACAGTGTAAAAGAGGGGCTCCCGAAAAGGAGCTGCATATGCTGCTCCCTTGGAGTCACCTCCAAAATTGACGCTTCCGAAATTTTCAAACGTTTAAAAAATGGGTCATGTTTACCATGTTCAGAATGATTTCAGAATTAGGATCCAACCAACTAAAGTAACAGTTGGATGGCCGGATGGAGTAACAGTTGATTTTTTTAGGCGTTTCAACCAGTGACTGGTGCCTGCCCACAGAAACCCAGATGCATCTCAAGTTCGTCCTGCAAGACCGGTGGACGGTACTGAAAAAACAAACTGCAAAGTCGTCCAAGACTTCAAGACCAAAATCTGTCACAGATCAATAGCTATCCATTTCCCCACGTAGAGAACAGGCTGGCAAGTTACAACCAATGCATTTTTGTGGTTTTCTTGCCTTTACCTTTTCAATTTTTGATGCCTTGTGCTAAAATTGTGGGATGGTTTCACGTCTTTTCCAAAACATAGTGGGGAGGCATTGTTTGCGCACCGGGCTTCTATGTAGGTATAGTATAAAAGCACAGTTCCAATATGTATAATTATGTATATATATATAGAGATATAATATAAATATTGATATATAATATATCCCAACACCAAGAAAGCATCCAACATATAAACATATACCCTTGCCCAACCTTTCCATAGATATCATTTTAATATTTTGGTCTTGTGGCTACACTGCAGTCAAGGGGGATGTTTCCCTTTCCCTTTCAGTTTGGAGAATCATCCGCTTGGGGTTGACAGTGGCAGAAGTGTTACCACCGGTGATTTTCGAACCTACAATTTCCCTGTGGCTGACTACTTTGGTGACCCTTATCAACTATCAAACCACCAGATGAGTGGCTGTGGTTCATGGACCTATCTAATCTGATCCCAGCGAAATCGGTGAGAAATCCATATTGGAAACCCAGGCCAGTGGTTCGCGCGTGCAGGTATCATTATCTTTGCCCTCTGCACCTTCATCGCAGGCATCCTTTTCCGAGTTCCAAGCATCAACATGTCGACCGTGTCTGGGCCATACGTGCCACACGTCAGGGAGAGCGGTTTTGAGCGATCCCCAAAATGGATGGAACTCCTTGAACCATCGAGAATATATTATTATATTCTAACGTCATAAGAGGTCACGGTCAGAATGATAATTTAGTATAATATATATATATAATTATATATAGATACACACTCATTTATGAGTTTCTCTTATATTCGCTAGGGATTCCAAACGCGTGCTAGTATGCGAATCTATGTGCCGTACAGGTCTGCCCAAGAAATCCACGTTCAATGCTCAAATCACCACCGGGAACTTTACAGCCAAAGAAATGGGATGTAACAAGCGAAAATGTCAACTGAACAATAAGCAATATCAATAATGATACATAATGATACATAATGATACACATATATATAATACTATATATATAACCACAAAAAGTCACACTCTAAGCATCACACCTTAGGGTTTTTTTAAAACTAAACATGTCGGTTTAAATTTTAAACACGAACAATTGTCACTTCACACCACAAATGGAATTTTTAGCCACAACAGATAAAATTGTACAATTTGGATACACACCATAAATTCGACATCCATATATAATAGTGATTTAACCACCATTTTTTTTGCTAGCGACGTTGTTAGCGACCCCATAGGAAAACACCACTTTATAGTTTCTGGGGGGTTCTGGTGGGTTGGGGGGTGGGGGTTGTTGGGGGGTGCAATAACGTTTAATAGCACTTGCATTTATAGAAGATGCAATTTTACTTGATGTTGCTTGTAAGGTGCAGATGATGCCACGCTACAGAAGGTGACTTCAGCTAAAATAAGTTTTGCTACCGTATTTAACGTTGACTTCTTCGAACATAGATGATGCTACGCTATGTCAGGTTAAGTTGAACTAGCATACATTGTTGTATGCTACTTAAACAAATCTTGCACTTGCACACATGTCTTGCACTCTTAGTGAATGCCACGCTACTTGACGCGTACCTGCACTAACATACGTGATGTTACGCTACTTGCTTTTGATGGTGGGGGTTTCGGGTGGGGTGGGTGGCGGGTGGGGGGGTAGGGGGGTGGGGGTTGTAATAAGGTTCAATAGCGCTTGCATACATATAATATGCTACGCTACTTAATGTTAACTTCATTTCGAATAGGATGTTATGCTACTTCAAGTTAACCTCTTGTCACGTACGTAATCGTACGCTAAATCAAGCACACCTCATGTAACATAGATGTCGCTACGCTACTTGGCGATACAAATAAGAAGTTATGTTACTTGTAGTTAACTTCATGTAACATAGATGATGCTACGCTACTGAACGTTAACATCATATCAAACAAGATGTTATGCTACTTGAAGTTCACTTCATGCAGCAAAGATGGTGCTGCGCTACTTAACGTTGACACTTAACGTTAACTTCATTTCAAATAATATGTCTCTTGTGAGAAAGTTGGGCTCTTGTTTTTTTCCAAAATAAAGGGTCCTGAAAACCACAATTCCAATGGCCCAAAATGGAGAAAGGCTGGCCCTCCTGAAAATACCAACAATTTAAAGCCTTTAAATGAACTCTTGCCATTCTGAACAATGTTCAAATTCCTCAGGGTCGCTATTGGCGCCGGTACCAATTTTTTGGTGGTTAAATTCAGCGGATATACTTTTTTCTTTGAATCAACATGTTTGGTGGTCTTCCAATTTTTTGGCGCTGGATATCCAGATTTTTGACAGCTGAATCCACATGTTTGGTAGTTAAATCCCTTATTGTATTTTGTGTTTTTTGTGTGTGGTTAAATTTCAAAAAAATTGAGTATCTGCTATTCCACCAGACATCTGCTATTCTGAAATTCTTCATGTCCAACCCATGTTTTGATGCTTCCAAAATCACAGTTTTGGTGCTAGTGAAAAATCACTAACTAACTGACTGGACTGTTGTTGAATCCCAATGGGTTTTTGTGTTAAAACACCACATGTTTTTGGTGTTTAAATTTAAGCCTCTGAACCTTGGATATATCGGAGATCTCGGAGCTTCTCAGAGCCCAGGTTTGGACTGTGCGTGTCCTTCTTGCCACTTGGACGCAGGAGGCTGGGTTTTGTTAATTCAAAATTGGGCTTTGATTCACATATGGAGGGTTCCAAAAATAACGGTAGCCCCCAAATCATCCATTTATAGATGTTTTTTCTTGCACCACCAGTGGAACCACAAGATTCAAGGAGTGTAGACCCTGTTTTTTTTTCCCTTCGGGGGTGGACAACTTTCTGAAATGGGATGGGCGAGTCTCAGGGTCTATGTGTGGGGCCGGGGGGGTAGTGTTTTGTTTAATCTTTGACCATACTGATGATGGTTCATATTTTCAAGGGGGGTGAAACCACTAGCAACATTGGTGATTTTTACCTCACAACATCACGATAACACATGGTTTGTAGGGGTCGATCCCAAGAATGGCGTATTTTTTAATAGAAGTAACAAGTATTATAAATTGCCTGGTATTATTTGCACAGTTTTTGAGCCATACATGGTGGATTGAGCCATGACAGTTTTTGTACATCATGAATTTTCCAACGTTCGGCGGTTCTGTTCCATTGCACTTCGATTGTTGAACACATTAGAACCAGTTTTACCACATGCTGTGAGATTTCAAGGCTCCCATTACATATGAGCTGTGGTCAATACTCATGGTTAATAACCATTAAAAACGGGGCTAGTCATCCAATGGTTCATAGGGATTTACAATAACCATTATAAGGATCCTTATTGTGGATGGGATGACCATCAACGTTATTGTGAGTATTGACCATGGCTCATATGGTTATACATGTCTTCACATGTCTCGATAGTCTTAGTTTTTGGATGTACACAACTTTGATTCATACCCATAAGACCCATCCAAGCCGGCAGATTTCCTGCGATCATCCAAGGTATTCTTGTCCATCTCTGCTCTCGGCGCGGTGCTGATGATCAGTTTACCCTTCATCAGGACACGGCTTGGATACTTCTCCGTTACATCATCAATGAAATGGAATGGTCGTTGCGATTCTTCATGAGCACCCCCCCAGTAAGACTTTGCCATGCTACAGATGGCTCATCCATAGTTCGATGATTTACCCTTTGGTTATTTAACGTAGCTATGTAAATAGCATTAAATAGCTAGGTAAATCATCAATTTGTTTAATCATTTATTTCCATGTGCCATCAAGGCCATCTAATACCATAGCTATGTTAAACAATGGTACCCAAGAAAACATGGCCGTTTTCCATGACCAAGCCAGGAGCAAAGAGGACACCTATGAAACCAAGCTGCAGTTGGGCCAGGGCGGCCAGGGCGGCCAGGGTGGCCAGCTGAAATATGGCTGGGTAAATTTCATCACGACTTCACTGTTCTCCCGAACCCTGGAATCATGGCTAAGAATGGAAATCATCCCCAAATGGCCTTAATTCCCATAAATGGGTAAATGTGTATTGTAGCTACTGAGGGTCAATAATGGCCATAATAATAATGATTTACCCTTGCTATAATGGAAATCATCCCCAAATGGCAAATGGCTCAACAATTCAGCTTAGTGAAATATTATAATTTACCCAGATATGGCCATTTTAGTAAGGAAAGATTTGGATAAACCAGCGGATAAACCAGCGGATTTTCTTCAGACAGACCCGATAAAATATCGTGATGAACATTCTAGGACTCTCTAAGGGTTGATAATGACATATTTACCATGATTTATCCATGATTATCGTGATCGTTGTTTTTTTTCCCACGTGTAATTCTATTCGAGCTTCTACTACTTCCTCAATTTCGATATTGCATCCGCAACTTCCTAGTTCATGTGGCAAGAGGATGCGGCGTCTTTTGGTGATTTATAGTGATTTATATGGAGGTCTCCTAAAATGGGGTACCCTCAAATCATCTATTGCAATAGGATTTTCCATTATAAACCATCCATATTTTTGGGGATCACCCATTTTAGGAAACTTCCATATCCCCCACTTGTTGGATCAGATTTTGCCGTTTGTATCCCTGAGTTGTCTATCCATGAGGCGAAAACGCTCCACCACAGAGACTTTGACAGCTGAACTCTGTTTGCACCCCATAGTCCTATTGTTGGGTATTAAGAGACACGAACACACATTCACGCACAGCACACTACACCACACTCAGCCTTGCGCTCACTCCAACACTCTCACTCACTTGCCAGCTTCCTCGCCAGCTCTGGACCTCGCTGGACTCAAAGCCCTCCAGATTGAATGCCATTTTTGGAATGTCAGAAAATATGTGAGATAAATCACAGACAGAATGTGAGATAGAATATTCAGCAATATTACCTAGAATGTCAGATTCAGATAGAAATGCCCGATAGAATGCAAGATAGAATGTCCAATAAAATGTCACATAATGCCAGGTAAAATGCCAGGTAGAATGTGAAATAAATGTCAGATGGGAATGCCAGATGGAATACCAGATAGAACATCAGACACAAAAAGTATATGTCTATGTCAGATAGAATGTCACAACATATGTCAAGGAATTGTCAGGATATATGCCATGGTGATCCATGGTGGGGATCACCTTGGGAACGAGTTATCCCTGCCCTTGCAGGGATGGATTGGCTTGGTTGAAGCCCACATATCAAGAAGTTACAGGGAGAAGCACCAAATTCTTGGAAGCGTAATGGGGTTCCATTTCCGTTGCTTCCTCATGCCTTCTGTGACCAAATGTGAACATCTCTTGAATTAGGATTACATCATCTCAGATGATCTCCACTAATCTCAGATCATCGTCAACCATTTGAACTGATTTCGACATTTTAACTCACCTCAGATGAAGTGACAAATCCTTTTACCTCGCTACGGGAGCGAGATCCATGACACACCAAGACCTGGGCCGAGCAGACCAAACGAGCGCATGGTTTCAAGTTGCCCTTGATGCCGTTGTTTCCTCTGCACCTGGGCTGAGAAATGTTGACCGTTGGCACAGAGAAATCCCACAGAAATCCCACACAAATCCGTGTGGGCAAACCAATTCACTAAGGCTATATGTGAGCAAATGAGGGTAGTTCCCACTTGCAAGTAAGTGATTGGCCACACACTCACTTAGTCCATGGTCATCAGCACCAAGTGATCATATTGTTTGCTTCAACGGAGGATTTTCTTATCCGTTGAAATGATAAACCCAACCAACCAGTAGGAAACTATGAAAACTCTCCACGGAAGTGGTGTCAGCATCATTCTTAGCCACTGTCAATGTCCTCAGCAAATTTCCCTGGAGATTTCTCATGTTTTTGCAACCAGAAACCGTCACTTAAATCTACCCTCTGGTGAACTAACATAGCAATGGAAAATCACCATTTTTCATGGGAAAATCCACTATAAATGGCCATTTTCCATTGCTATGTTAGTTCACCAGAGGGTAGCTAAACAACATGTTTAACAGCTGGGATCGTTACTTGCTGCTTAGTGAACGCCCAGGATCGGAATCGCGATGAACGTGCTCTGGCAGCCAGATCTATCTTGTAGCGGCAGTTCGTTGTGGGATGGCTGGTTTGATCCAACTGAAAAAACGAATCATTTAGGATCCCTGTTTCATAATTGGCATCCCCTGGGTATAAGATGATGGTATAAGAAGCTATTAAAATATGACGTTTACGACTTATCATTCGCCAACTTCAGGGATAATTCCAGAAGGATGTGGCGCTGCATGTATATACACATGAAATAAAATGTATATACTATATAGATGATAATAGAGAGAATAATATGATTGCATGACGTGTATCTATATACCGTACAATATGTATGTATACCGTACAATATATATATATAATATGCAATGATTATGAGATATTTCTTATTATCATATATATATATATATAGAATTAAGATGAGTTTTCGGCCCAGAAGCTTTCCAGTAGTAAAACTGACTTCAGCAGAAGACTGGGAGACCATAACCCCAACCATGGACATCGCTGTGCGCGACATCATTCCTGGCAACTCCTTCCATATAGTTGCGACTGTTTTGGGACGTCATGATGGTAATCTCCATTGCCGGGGTCTGTCACCCGATCAGAGTTTTGTGGTGGTGAATGCTCCTCCTCTCGATGTGGGCACCTTTACCTTCTACGACCTGATTAAGGCGTCTCAGGACCCTCAGACATGTATGTTTGGGGACAACACAGAAGCACTGCCACATCCTCCAAAAGAGGCATTCCAAACCATCACAGTGCTTGACCTTTGTAGCGGCATGGGTGGATTTTCCATTGGATCACAGATTCTTGGTTTGAAGACAATGGCCTTTGTAGAACGTAATTCCTTGGCATGCATGGCCTTGAGAGCCAACTTCCAAAGTCCAATCATTGAAGGGGACCTTTCTGATGTGAGAGTGATGAAACAAGTTCATCGCCTGAAGGGCAACACGTTTCTCCAGATTACTGGAGGATTTCCATGCCAGGGTTACTCAAAGCAGGGCGATTTGATGGGGCTCGATGATCATCGAAGCCATAGCTTGTACTACATCCTGCACTATGTTTGGCTCTTGCAAGCAGATGCGGCACTTTTGGAATGCGTAGCAAATGTTCTTCAATTTCCTTGTACCCAAGCTTGCATTGATGATTTCGCTCAACGAGCACACATGTTTTGCACCAAGATGACCCTGGACCTTCAGCATCAGTGGCCAGTGCGCCGACACAGATTCTGGTGTCACCTGATCGCCAAGGACCACCCCAATCTCGCTCTTCCAATGTGGCCCATCAACAAGGACCTCACTTGCCTTTCCATGGTCATGCCGATGGATGCCATTTGGTCCACTGAAGATGAGCAAATCTTGGAATGGGATGAGACTGAGCAGAAGATCTATACAGACCGGGCCTATGGGGATGATCAACGTATCCTTCTACCAGATGACAAGGCGCCCACATTTCTCCATTCTTGGGGACACGTGGCACGGCCCTGCCCATGTGGTTGTCGAACTGCATTCAGTGATATGAGATTGAGGAAATATGGAGCCAGAGGTTTTGGTTTGAGGTCCATGCGAAGTGGCAAGATGCGTCACCTTCACCCTGCAGAAGGAGCATTGCTGTGTACCGTCCCACCGACCTTCGCATTCCCATGTGACTTGCGGGCGGCATTGAGTCTCTTAGGCCAAATTGCTGCTCCTCTTCAGGTGCTTTGGCTTCAAGCTCACATCTTGGCTGGTCTGCAGCTCTATCATTGGGGATGGACTGGAATTGACCCAACCCAAAGCATTCGAGTTCTGCAACAGCATTTGGTGAATCATTCCATGCTCACTTGGATCACTCCACGCATGTACCAACCCAGATGCATCAAATTGCAAGTTGAAGGTGAATCCCAGATCCTGGATGTCATGATCCACCAACCCCTGACCGTCAAACAATTGATTGAAGCTGAAAAATCGCTCTGCGGTTGGGGACACTATGTTGTTGTGAAACATCAAGGAGTTCGGCTACCTCCAGCCACACTTCTTCAACATGATGTCTTGTACTCCATTGAGATCCGCAAGAGCATGCAGGTCAAGCCTTGGACTGAGCAAGATGACCTCTCGGGTGGAGGGCAACAATCAGCTGCAGCATGCCTAGGTGACAAGATCATTTGGCAATTCATGCAGATTATGACCAGCCACCACGCAGAAGCAGACCAGCAATCAGCACCTTTCATGCTCTATCCTTTCAGAGCCAAGCATTTCCTTGATCATCATTTTCCAGATGGACTTCGAGAAACTTGGAAGCGACAATTCTGTGCCTCCAGTCATTCCATCTATGTCATCTTTGAGACTGATCATCATTGGGTCCTGCTTGTCGGTAAGTGGGTATCGCAGTCACATGGACTTACTTGGACTTTGTTCGATGGACTTCGAGACCAAAGACTGCTACCCAGTGCTCACAACACTGCGCTGAAGATTTGCAATCTTCTGGATGTGGACTTGGTGGACTTTACCGCTCATCACTGCATTGCACAGCAGCATTCATCTACCTGTGGGACAATAGCGTTGGTGCACATGGCTTTGGACTTATGCCTGACCACCACGCCAACCCAATCAGAGATCGCAGTACTGCATGAGTGGCTCTTGCGACATCAACAAGATGGCACCATCTTTGCTGGAGGACTCACAGATCAACAACATCAACTTGCCAGCTTGATTGCAGACAAGGGAGTCCCCACTGAGCTTGCTCCTGAACGAGCGCAACAGATCATCATGAAGCTTGGAAGCACCCTTGTCCAAAGCATTCTGCAGGGCAAGCACCCCTGGGCTGATCTCAAATCAGCGGCTAGTAAGCCCGGCCATCTATTTCGGATTGTCACCGCTGCTGAACAGACAGCCTACATAGCCAAAAGAGCTCAGACTCAACATGGTGCCCAACTTCGCAACCACAAGGCCAAGAAGAATGCCAAAACTCAACAGAAATCAGGGCCTGTCTACATTGACCCTGATCACTTCGAGCTGGATGGAGAGCATTTCCATGATGATGATGACAAACCAGTGGCCCAGATCTCCTTCTCGGAAGTTGAGGCTGATTGCAGAGGCGTTGCACTTTGCACTACTACCATGGCCACACACTTCTTGGAGTCGCCCAAGAACATCAGCGTCGAGGCTCTGGCACTTCTCCTTGTGGACACACCCAGCCAAGAAGTGATTGACTCAGCTTCTCTGGAAAAGATTGTCATCCCTGCGCGCTGTCGGGGCACCAATGAGCATACTTTGATTTTTGGTCATATCCTACAACTTGGAGACCTGACAGTGAAAAGAACCTTCCAAGGCGAGTGCTCTAGCCCTGACATTGTTAGCACCAGTGTGATCAAATTCCAGATCTTCCGAGATCAATTTCCTGCTGACTGGCAAACCTTCGTGCTTGCGCCTGTGCGGGCGTTGGTCAACATGATGGAAGCTCTACAACTCTGCAAGGGGGTCAATTGTGGGGCAGAATGTGCCAAATTCCATCCTGGAATTGATGAACACATTGACAATGTCATCTTTGAGATCTGGGCGCGCAGCTACTTTGACGAACATGGGCACAAAGCAGCTGCTGCTGTCGCAACCCTCTTCACTGTGTTCATGCGCATCCCTGAAGGTGCACTTGCCAAAATCTTGACCACAACACCATTGGGAGTCTATGCAGAACCCAGGGGACAGCGACCCAGAGAACATGATGATCACTATCGTGTCATTTGGCTGCCAGGTAGTAGCTTTGATGAAGCTGCTCACAAATGCCGCACATTCTCAAAAGCCATTTGTTTGGTTCGTTTGAAGAACAAGTTCGGCATCAGGGTCGCCAAAGATGATGAGCAAGCGGCATGGACACACCTTAGACCTGGAGTGGACTTTCTGGATCTCCACATCAAATACATTTTTGAGCTATTTCCATTGCCACACGGCACACAGCGACAAGCAGTCTCCAAACTCCTCAGTGATTGGGGTTGGCATGCGCGACCTCTGCAGCCGGGCAAAAGCTCCTTTCAGCATATGGCATGGCGGGTGGGTTCTGATGTACAACCCCCTCATCTGGTCATGAAGGGCTTTGACAATGACATTGTGATCACAGCGGTTAAGGAGATCAAGGCCAACACTCCTCAGACCATACTGATTGCATCAACCCGCACGCAGAAACATCTGCGCACTGCGCCAGACACTGCCTCCAGCACCAAGTCAGCAAATGACCCTTGGCTGGACATTGCAAAGGACCCTTGGGCCAACTTCAAACCGAAGCCTTCAGCATCTACGGCTGATGATGGCAAACATCGTTTGGAAGAGCTGCGAACCCAACTCTGCAAAGACGTGCAATCCCAGGTCTCCAAAGGACTTGAGACCCAAGCTCAGGCCGCCATGCAGGCTGCAGCAACAAGTTCCTCCGGACTTGCACAATCACATGAAGGTCGTCTTCAAGCCTGGGAGTTTGGCATGCAGGAACTCCAATCCCATCATGCTCAATTCTCCACTTGGTTTCAACAAGCTGGTGAACGCATGCAGGCCACTGAGAGTGCAGTTGGGGCCGTTCAACAAACCCTCAACACGCACCAACATGAGATCCACACTTTGGGCAGCACATTCCAGAGCACTATGAAAACCATCAAAAGTGATCTCTCAAGTGAGATGAGTGACAACTTCAACAAGCAGTTGTCTCGCTTGGAGGCACTGCTGGAGAAGAAGCAACGCTCCAGCTGACTACGGCAGCCCGGCTCCAGGAGTGGATCTACCTGGAGGCCGAGAACAACATCGAGATCCTTTTTTGGTTTGCGTATGATGTTCATTTGGCTCTTTGTGCATTTTGCACCGGCTGTGGCTCTACAGCAGGGGACTCCCTTTGCCCGGCACTACATCGACAGCACGGCGGCCTTGGCCGACTGTGATATTGGGTCGGGGGAGTTTCCTTGCTCAGTTCTGGAGCCCATACATGAGCCACAATTTTGGAGGTTTTCTTCCCTCCAGTGTTCCTACATCCCTGATGGCCAAGCAGGCACTGAAAGATATGGTGAGGC